ATTCGTATACGGGCACGCAGACAAGGTCGGCTCTCTCAACGGCACCTTCAAGATCCAAGACAGGACTGCTTGAGACTGAAATCAACTCGTTGACCAAGATTCTGTGCGCCCTCACCCTGGCGCTGTCGGTGATTCTGGTTGCTCTTTTGGGTTTCGAGAATACCGAAGAAAACCGTTGGTACATCAAAATCATGAGGTACCTGGTTCTCTTCTCGACCATCGTGCCCATCAGCTTGCGCGTCAACCTCGACATGGGCAAGAGTGCGTACTCCTGGTTCATCCATCGCGATTCCGGCATACCGGGGACAGTGGTGCGCACCAGCACGATTCCAGAAGATTTGGGTCGCATTGAGTATCTGCTCAGCGACAAGACGGGCACGCTGACGCAGAATGAGATGGAGATGAAGAAAATCCACGTCGGTACCGTGTCGTACGCCAACGAAGCCATGGACGAAGTTGTTGCCTACGTCAAGCAAGGTTTCCACATCCAATCGACAGTGGATCCAGCCTCTCAGAAGATGCTCATCACCCCTTCGTCAACTTTTGCGAGTACCGCCAGCGTGGGCACCACCCGTACACGGCGAGAGATTGGTTCTCGTGTGAGGGATGTCGTGCTCGCGCTGGCGCTCTGCCACAACGTCACCCCCACAACGGAGGAGGAAGATGGCAAGACAATCACATCGTACCAGGCCTCTTCGCCCGACGAGATTGCCATTGTGCGCTGGACAGAGTCAGTGGGACTTCGTCTTGTCCACCGCGACCGCACCGGTATGATCCTGGAATACGCAGAAACAGGACGCCCCACGGTCCAGGTGCGCATCCTAGACGTGTTCCCCTTTACCTCCGAGGGCAAGCGGATGGGTATCATCGTACAATTTTACGAGACGAAACAGTCGAGCCCTCCCGATTTGAGCAGCGGACAGATTTGGTTCTACCAAAAGGGCGCCGATACCGTCATGACGTCCATTGTGGCGGAGAATGACTGGCTCGACGAAGAGACGGCCAATATGGCCCGCGAAGGCCTACGTACGCTGGTTGTTGGCCGGCGCCGCCTGTCTTATGAGCAGTACAGAGAGTTTTCAGAGAAGCCACCAGGAAGCCGCGCTCGCCATCACGGGCGTGACGCACATGCAGAAGGTGTGTCGCAGTACTCGAGCGGGACCTCGAGTTGCTCGGCGTCACCGGTGTCGAGGACAAGCTGCAGAAGGATGTCAAGCCGTCTCTCGAGCTGCTCCGAAACGCGGGCGTCAAGATTTGGATGCTCACAGGCGACAAGGTGGAGACGGCACGCTGTGTGGCCGTCAGCTCGCGCCTCGTGGCCAGGGGTCAGTACATTTACACCGTGTCCAAGCTCAAGAGGAAGGACAACGCACAGGACCATTTGGATTTCCTTCGCAGCAAGACGGACGCGTGTCTGTTGGTCGACGGCGAGAGCCTGCTGTTGTTCCTGACGCATTTCCGCATCGAGTTCATCTCGGTGGCGGTCCAGCTCCCGACCGTCGTGGCGTGTCGATGTTCTCCGACGCAAAAGGCCGAGGTTGCGACGCTCATCAAGGAGTACACCAAGAAGCGTGTCTGCTGCATCGGAGACGGCGGCAACGACGTCTCCATGATTCAGGCGGCCGACGTGGGTGTCGGCATCGTCGGCAAGGAGGGCCGACAGGCGAGCCTGGCGGCCGACTTTTCCATTGAGCAGTTCCACTACCTCACCAAGCTGCTTGTCTGGCACGGCCGGAACAGCTACAAGCGGAGTGCAAAGCTGGCGCAGTTCGTCATCCACCGCGGCCTCATCATTGCGGTGTGCCAGACAATGTACAGCATCGCGATCAAGTTTGAGCCACAAGGTCTCTACAAGGTATGTCGGCGTAGGCGTTGCTTGGGCAAGGTCTGTGCGAGCTGACGAAGACTAGGATTGGCTTCTCGTGGGGTACGCCACAGTGTACACGGCGTTCCCCGTGTTGTCGCTGGTGCTGGACAAGGACGTGGACGAGAACCTAGCCAACCTCTACCCAGAGCTCTACAAGGAGCTGACCTCGGGCCGCTCCCTCTCGTACCGCACGTTCCTCATCTGGGTCCTCGTATCGGTGTACCAAGGTTGTGTCATTCAGGGTCTTTCACAAATCCTCACCGAGGTCCACGGGCCGAGGATGGTCGCCGTCTCGTACACGGTGCTGGTGCTCAACGAGCTGCTCATGGTGGCCATGGAGATCACGACGTGGCACCCCGTCATGATTGTGTCGATTGTCGGGACATTCATGATGTTTGCCGCGTCGATCCCATTCCTGGGCGACTACTTTGAGCTGGAATTCCTGCTCACCCTGTAAGTCGGATCCCTCGTCCGAGTTTCTCCCCAGGCATGATCGCTGACAGTCGCAGTGGGTTTTACTGGCGCGTCCTCGCCATCGGGGCC